AAAGCAGTTTTTCTTTTCTTTTCTTGAGGAAGAAAAAATTAAAGTTTTGTGATTGTTTGTTGTTAAGCACAAAGCTACACAATGGTTATCTGTGCTCTCCCCACCACGTATATCGAAACGTTAAAAGTCTTAAGACTAACAACAGAGCCACTGGACGATGGTGGTGGGGAACAAAGGTAGAGAGTAGCTCAAACTTAAGTTTTGGGCAAGGGACATATTTTTACCTGGTAAACACAGAGAGCGTGTATTACATCTCAGAGGAGTTACTATCAAAAGAAGAAAACCAATAATCCAAGAGCTTTTAGAAAATGGACTTTCCTTCGTTAGTGGTAAATGTCAAATTATTATTGTAAGTGTGTTTATCACTAATGTGGTCATTGCACCGGAAGTGAGATGTCACACGTTCCTAACGGCATGTTTTAGATAGTGAAAAAGTATTGCGTGTGTGTGATGTGTAAGCGATGGGAAACAAAAAAAGAACGGGCAATTTTAAAATAACAATGGGTTACAAGAATTTGTTTGTATATTGTCCAGAAGAACTGGGAGAATTAACAAGAGCATATAAAGATACAGGAACTGACAGAAAAATTTAATATGTAAATTACAATAATAATAATAATGCATATATAAATGAGGACGTAAAAACAAGATACTAAATACAAATCATTTTAAGTAAGTAATAAGATTTAAAACCTCATTAACGCAATATTGAAAAAATTCGTTTCGAAACAATTTTCTAGGATTTTCTATAAAGGCCGAACAAAATCACTAAGATCATTAATGGCTATCTATATAATGACTTGTACAAATGAACCTCCAGGCAGATCAGAACATTTCCGTTATTATCTGACGAACGTCAAACAAAACATTACTTACAGTGAAGTCCTTCGCATGAAAAAGATTTACATTAACAATAATGATTACAAAAACATACTGAAACACTAAAAATATCGACGAAAGAAAGATATTATAAAGTTTCAGAAACAAACAAACAAACAAAAAACTATTTGAAAGTACTGAGAAAATTTCACGTGCTGTTGCCCTCAACCAGTCTGAACTTAAGCAATCTAACAGAGTTTCTTCTGGTTATCACATATTATCCAAACTCAAAAATGCTTCACGAATTCTTAAAAACAAAACTTCAATCTTCTACAGCTCAGTGAACGTCTAAAGCAAATCTTTACTGAAATCCCTATTGATTTTTTCTGAAAAAACAAGTCTTTGAGATATCCTTGTTCACGAAAAATTAATTATATCGCGCCACAGAATGGCGGTTTCTCTTGCAACAGTTACATGTCAAGATTTGCAAGTTTATAAAAAACCAACAGTACTTTTTCTGACTAGCATGTAAAAAACCACTACAGCATAACAAAAACAAATTCTTATCAATCTTAACACTCACCATAACTTATAAAGTGCCACCATCAGTAATGGACAAACCAAATAAAATATCCTTACTGAACGGTTTAATTTTAATAACTACAGATTCTCTGAAATAATTAATAACCTTACTGTTGCCCTACACTTTAATCAGCCTAACAACTCCATCTGTGAGATGGTTCTCATTGGTACTGAAAGCGGGTTTAAATTAAATGGCGACAGAGAAATAAAATAGGCCCAATGGATCAGCATTTTAAATGTTACCATCTCATACTTTATCCCAACATTCATGATCTTTGTCCTCAGCACAAAGTCTTAGAAAATTCTGTTCTGAAACGAATTTCTTTATTAACATTTTAACTCTTATTATTTGATTAAAATTGTTAAATTATTTCTGTATTATTATTAGATTTTCATGTGTGACTCGAAAATTGTGAACTCTCGACTTACAAGCCTTCGTCAAATTCAAGTAATTGATTATTACTTTCTGTTGGGTTTTGAGCCCGTTTTGCTTCACCATGTAATAACTTAAATTAATTTGGCTATGTGAATAATGTTATGACATTTATACACATTTCACCATTATAACATTTGTAATGGTAATTCTTTGTGGTACGGACCCAAGCTGTGCTGATTAGCCTTGAATAGGGGAAACTGCGATCCACAGCAAAGGGCACGGCCAATCAAAAATGCATTAGGCCTCTACATCACAGATTCTCTTTTAAATTTCACTTCTGGTGAAAAAGAAAATAAATCTTTTACATATATACAATGATTATTACTTTATCAGTTCTAGGATATATATCGATTTTGGGTTGGAGGGTTCTCTTTAGTAACCAGTCTTCATTTTGCGACCAAAGGTGTTACTCGAGGTTTGTTTAGGGTGAAGTTTCTGAGCCAATCACTGGCACACATGTTCTTCTGTGCGAGTTTTTACTTTCATCGAAAACATTTCAAGCTCCCGCCTAACCACCCATTGTTCAATATGTTCGCTGTGTATTGAAAATTATATATATGTACACACACACACACACACACACAGATATATATATAATTCCATGACGGCATTGCACTATCCAATGGCGGGAAATTCATCATAAACATATTATATATAACAGTGCTAAACATGTGGCTCATGACTCCACGGTTCATACCTACACCGATAAGCCAGTGTTAACATGTGTGTATATAGTTCTTGTAAACTACCGTAAACCCCCTTGTACCATTTGCTACAGATAATTGTCTAGGCTTTGACTTTTACGTTTCCTGATTTTAATAATTAATTATAACTACAGTCAAACATCCACACGTCGAAGAAGCAGGGACTTTCGAAATTTATTTATAATAGCTGTACAGTATTCTACGCAATAGATGTTAAAGGAGAAAGATGGGACTTTTGGACTTCGAAATCAGCCATTTATCAAAAATATTCAAAATTTGACCGTATACTGAAATTGCATTAATTCTAATTATACCAGTAATGCTTTTAAACTGTACGCAATCTGTGTTTACTTACCATTGCTGAACAAGTCAATATATTTATCGTTTAAGGTAATTTAATATTATTAGATAATATTAAATAAAACAAGCCTTTTTTTTTCAATTTCTGCTCTTCCACTGCGTTTCACTGTGTAATTGTATGGTGTGTAAATATCAGTTTTACTGTATTGTAACTTAAGTGTTAATGGTTTGCGAATTAGTTTAACTTACAACATCCAATATAACTCTAGTGATATCCCAAGCCACAGTCGTCGCTAAGTGGTTAAAATATTCGGAGCTCTAGCCCATAGGCGCGAGAATTTTCGGCGTTTCACTATGATATCGATCACGGTTTTCTATTCTGATTTTTCAAGACACCAACTGGGGATTCGGGGCACGGGCCCCGTGTGCCAGCGCCTAGCGACACCTCTGTCCTACACTGTAAACGCTCTCTAAACCATCGTACAAGAAGAGGGCAACATATTAAAACAACTATGTAATTTGCTTTTAATTGAAGTTTTAACCAAAAATTTACACGAAACAATTTTAGCAAGAAAAAAGTCCAAAATAAACATATTACTTACCTAAAAAAAAGTCCAAAATAAACATATTACTTACCTAAAAAAAGTCCAAAATAAACATATTACTTACCTAAGACAGTAGAATTCATCGAAAAATATTGTTAACTACAATCATGAATGATGACTAGCGAAAAAGAAGGAAATTTTAGCACAATTTCCTAAAAATCGTGATTATTGCAAAAGCGCACATGAAGTGGGTGTCGATTTTCAGAATGTCGAAAAAATTAATGTGTCTAACGGCGTAAAGACGTTTTATCACCTGTAGTTCGGGCTCCACGTAACTTGGGCGGGATCTGAATAAATCAACTATATTAGTCAGAGTTGATGTAAACTAGTTACCACACACGCTTCAAAAGTTCTACTCAAACTTTATCTAATTACAGATACTACGTTCATTAACTATGATTCCCAAGACTTTCCAATTAGAAGAATGAAAATGTTGACAGTTTAAATAAGCTTCAAAAACTGGCAAACAGTTTCTGTCACCTGAATATCCACTGTTTCTACACCTACAATCAAAACGAGGCTGGTTATTGCCAGGCGTTCTTCTAACGAATGTTGCTGCTATCAGTAAAAGTAACTGAGTGTGACTGGCCCACATTCAATATATGCAAGAGTCAAGCAAGTTGTGACGTCACACGTATGAGAAACATGATTGGTCCTAACTGTAATATATCTGAAGAAGGCTGACTGCGGTAGGTAAGACTTGTGTCGTCACCAAGAGTTGTATTATGTATGAAAAATATATATACCGAAATCCCCTTTACACAATCTTGTATCTAAATCTATTGTATCGGTTGAATCTGATAAAATTCAACCCATGGCTCTTTATATACTTCCCTCAACAAAACTATCTTTCTGTCTATCTATTATATGTTTATATGCGTTGAGCATATCCCAAGAAAAGAAGCCCACACGCTGAAAATAGGAAAAATATGGTCCAAAGGAGCTGTTCATATGAAAGCAGGAAACTCGTTATACGAACACACAAAATCAAGGACTGACTGGAGGCTACGTACAGAATGTGTGTCAGCGTATATTACAAGATGTAATGGTGGAATAAAACCAACCTGACATCAGCCTATCTGATTTAATGCTTCAGGTAACACCGTATGTCAAACCACGCACTAAACGAATTTTATATTTTCCATTTAACTATTCAGCAGATACTTTAACATATGTATTAGTTGTGTATTTACTTGATCACCGAAATAGCATTCGGTCTGTTCGATCGTCTATTCGGTTTATTTTGTATCTTTTTATGTATAATCTTCGACTCGATTGTGATTCAATCTTTCCGATTGTTCGTTAATCTATTTCTATTTCTGTCTGATCATCTAATCAACTATTACAATTTTCGACTGTACTTTCAATTAACTGGAAAAAACAACTGTTCTAGCTATCTCTATACAAGTTTTCTCGTCGTATTTATATATATTCGAATATACATTACAGATTACGTAGAAATTACTTTTTGTTGGATTTAGAGCAAAGCTACACGAGGGCTATCTGTGCTAGTAGTCTCTAATTTTGAAGTATAGACTAGAGGGAAGAACACAACGCAATGCCACCTCTTGGGGTACTTGTGTCGGCCCGAATAGTGGGGTTCCACAGTTATTCTTATAATGTATCCACGGCCTTGAAGTGCGGAGTACGATTTTTTTAAGGTAATGGAACGTGAGCCACATAACTTCAGCTCCCGACGTGTCAGCGGTAAGTTTATGGATTCACAATGCTAAAATTCTGGGTTCTATTCTCCGTGATGGATAGACCGCAAATAGCCTATCGTGCGGCTTTGTGCTAACAACGGACAACTCCTCTAAAGTCTAAAAAAAAATTCTCAAAAAAATTCGAAAATTACATAACTCGGCTAATGAAAAATCCCAATAATTAGTCTAAAAACTGGAAAAAATCAAGATTTGCAACAGATGTCCAAATTACAAAATCTGATCTGGACGCTAGAATGCAAGATTAATCATTTACGAACTAGAAAGCTCAACAAGTCGTTTATAAATAGGAAAATACAATTTTTTTAAAAATCACAAAAAAATTGCCTAAAAACCAAACAATCTGATCTGACACTAACAACGAAAAAAAAACAATAAAAAGCCGACAACTACGCTGAAAAAAAAACAAAAATTAACACAGCATTTGATCTAAAACTAAAAAAACCAAATACCAAAAAGAAAAAAATACGCCATCTGATCTAAAAACAACAAAACCAACAGCTAAAAAAATTATAATGTCTCATCTAAAAACCTAAAACCACACCATTTGTTCTGAAAACGAGAAAACCGACAACTGGAAAAAATTATAAAATCTCATCTAAAAACCTAAAACCACACCATCTGTTCTAAAAACTTCAAAAGCAAAAAAAAAACATAGACTGGAAAATTACAATAATTCGTCTCAAAACTGGAATAACCACGGTAATCATTTAGCAATTAGAAAAACATATTAATTAATTAAAACTGAAGAAGTGCAATGACACATTAGAAACCTGGAGAATTACAATATATAACTTATTTAAAAAGTGGAAAAATCTGAAACTAGGAAAACCAAATAGTTGAAGAATTTTAATAACTGACATAAAAACTGATGAATCATACATAATAGCTCATCCAAAAACTGAAAAATTACAAAACATTAGCCAAAAACCCCGACAATAAAAAACTACATCAATCAACTAAAAACAGAAAAAGCACAGTGCCTCAACAAAAACTGGAAAATCACAATAACTCGTCTACAACTTGGAAAATTACAAAAACTACAGCAAGCTGTAAGGGGGAAAAAAATACTAAGTGAGAAATGGAAGTTTGTTGTAACATTGGACCATGTGTACACATGAACGACTGCGACAAAACAACAATAAAAAAATTGGATGACTTACTTGTCGGTTGGTAAGAGCCCAGCGGTATGTCTGAGGGCTTACAACTCTAAAATTGAGCTTCGATAACTGCGGTGCGCACAGGACAGGTAGCTCACTGTATAACTTTGGGCTTAACAACAAAGAAATAAAACAAAGAACGTTTTTCATTAAGATTAATGGTTGTCGCTGGTTTCCCAAATAATGACAAATTTGTCTGGAGAATTTATTAACACCAATTATGAGAGATTAAATTCCGGCAATGTGTGGCCAAGATGCAAAGAAGTTATGAGAGAATTAAGTAACCTTGTTACTCCCTTTATCTTTGATACCCGTGAGAGCAATAGACTGTTTAAATGAGATTTTGGAAGCCGAAGTCCACGAAAAATGGATTGTGTCATAGTGTGTTGTCTAAGAATGACCTAGTCATCCTTCGAAAAAGCTTCGAAAATCGAAATTGTAGTGTCTGGCGTTATTAAAGAAACAACACAAATTGTTTGTTTGTTTTGAATTAAGCACAAAGCTACACAATGGGCTATCTTTGCTCTGCCCGCCACGGGTATCGAAACCCGGTTTCTAGCGTTGTAAGTCCGCAGACATACTGCTGTGCCACTGGGGGGCAACAACACAAATTATGACCACCGAGTGAATACGTTTTTATAAAGCACGATTAACCACGTGCAGTGTCTCTTTTAGAGGCATTTGTTAATGATTATCAAGCTGAGGAAGCACAAATAGTCACTGTTGTTTGGAAAGAAAAAATTAAGTTTGTGACAAAAACAGCTATCGATCGATGGTTTGAGTTTATCTTAATGTATTCTTATAATTAGCAATGAAATAAAACGAAGGAGTAAATAAGTACAAATGGAATTCCAGTATGCTGCTTTACCTATTCTGAGTTATAAATTAGAAAAGACTGAAACGAAAACCAAAACGCTTAATCTATTGTAGTAATTCCCACATTCATTACGACTTGCTGCTGGCCTGGCACCTAATTCAACATTTCATTTCTTCAAATCGACTTGAAATTATATGAGAATAAGAGAGATATATGATATAATACTAGTTAAAATATTTTCGTTAACGCTACTGACACCTTCTGATTTATGTAAACTAAAGTTAGTAAAATCTTATAAAGCATGCCTAAAAACCTTAACACAAGAACACGCTGACAAAATACATGTTGAGTTTATTGTTCTTTGCAATCTAGAGGAGACGACGTGTAACATAAATTACAGCAATATATTAGACATTGGATTGATGTGGAAAATCAGAAAGCAAAAAAATACGGCCATATAACTACGTCACGTGAACCATAAAGACACTTTTTGATATAAAAAAATAAATAAAAGGCTCCTTTTAATAAAAAGAAATTGTAAATGCTGTACCACTTGTCAGCCAAAAAAGACCAATTAAGTCTGAGGAAAACAAGAAAGAAAGTAGATAACAGAGTTAATCTACTGCTCAGTGTCGGAGCTAATAAGCTCTTAGTCAAGGAAGATTTCGCGCTCAATAAAACAGCGACGACTAACTAACTACAGTTTTTCAGCAGGCAAAGAGAGCGTGGAAAGCCAGCTTTTTTTGTTTTTTTATTTTCTGGTGATATACAACTTCGATAACAACATTCAATATTCTACTGTACCATCAGAGCAGTAATCAGTTGTTGAACCGACTATGATGCAATAAAGTTTTAAAGTGATTTCTAATAACAGACGATGATAATCACTTGTGTTATATCTGTGACGGTTTGGTTTGTTGTGTATTTCGCGCAAAGCTACACGAGAGCTATCTGCTCTAGCCGTTCCTAACTTAGCAGTGAAAGACTAAAGGGAAGACAGCTAGTCATCAACACCCACCGCCAACTCTTATGCTACTCTTTTACCAACGAATAGTGGGATTAAACGTCACATTATAACGCCTCCACTGCTGAGAGGGCAAGCATGTTTGGTGGGACGGGGATTCGAACCCGCGACCCTCAGATTGCGAATCAAGAGCCCTAATCACTTGGCTATGCCGGACCCATCTGAGCTATCCTTAATTTTGAAGTGATAGGCTAGAGGGAAGGTAGTTAGCTAGGAACAGTCAACATTGCAAATTGTTGGAACATTCTTGTCAGACTGAACAGTAAGATTTGACCATCGTTCTTAAGACGCATCCAAAGTCCCAAAGTGCGGAGCACGATTTTATTTATTTTTGTAGTAACGGGTAGTGAACCACAATCCGGCTCGTTAAATACTGAGCCAATAGTCCAACATATTTTTATTTTACCTTTGATGAAATAACTGGTCCTGTTAGAAATCCTATATTTGGCAAGTAGCAAACTCTTACAAAGTTACTTATGCAAAATTTTTTAACTCTGGCAGAAACATAATAAATTAACACAAGCTTAAGATTAAGTTTTAATTAACATAAATACATGTTCTTTAAAAAATTTAAACTCGCTTTCTACAAGGCTTTGGTTTTAGTGTTGCTCTTTTAACTTTATAGTTTGTCATCAGCCTTCAAAACTGATACACGTTTTACAAGGTTATTTTTACGTTATTAATATAGGTTATAAAATTGGAATATTTTTTTTTTAATTCGCAAACAATTTGGAATAAATAAAAACCATCTAGTATACGAAAGCTGATAACAAGTCACTCTTTCATTAAACTCTAAGTAATAATAAAACCCTACTTGGTAGACTT